CACCTCCACCAGCACCAGCAGAACCACCACCACCACCACCACCACCACCACCACCACCACCACCACCACCACCACCACCACCACCACCACCACCACCACCCTATTTGATATGGAAATCGGCCCAAGCAGGTCATGGAAAGTGCTTGTTCCCAAATTTCGCGATGGAATCCGGAGGAGTTCCTCGGGATACAGAAGTGTGTCATGGGCACTGGTCAGTTGATGATGCCATCAGCGCACCAGATGCGATCTGCCGAGGTGGAAGAGCATTGCGACTCTGCAGGACTCATAAGACCTGTGGCATCGAAGACTTGCAAATCATGAGCCTGAACGTCACGCATGTGTTGCGATTGACGTGATCTGCCAGCGCCGCGACTTGGTTCGGTGTTCTTGAAATGACAGCAGGAAGCCGGCAAAAATCGAGCATCTGTGGGCTCTGTTGAGCGGAAGACTGACCACCTGGCCTTGGCTGTGAAGCGGCTGCCCAACAGGCCGGCCAGACATGACAGTCTGCCGTGTGCGTTCTACCGTGTGCAAGGTGGATGAAGAAGCGGCACAGAGAGTTGCAGCCCGAGTGCAAGCTGCTGCTACATCATAGAAGTTTTCAACTGGATGCAATACCAGGTCCTTAATACTTTTTGCTGCACAGTATTCGAAGGTTTGCAGAGAGCAACCCGCAAAGTTCAGAGAAGCCTTGGGTCGACATTGGAATGCTTCGGTACCTCAATGCTCTGGGGCCGCTCGCTTGTCAAATTAGAGCCTTGCTTGCTTACCTGACGCGTGCCAAAATCGTGTAAGTGAATAGGGCCTTGATGCAAACTTGGCGTCTTCCAAATACAGATGCCCGAATTTTCTTGCCTTCATCGCTATCGGTACCCCAAATTGCCGGATCTTGCATTACGTGAACTTGAGCTTGTTGTCATCTTAGGGTGTCAAGGTTTCACCTGCGCGACGGGTTGTGTCATAGATGTTGGAGTCTTCTTTAGCAAAGCAATTCTGCGTGTAATTCCAGGTTTCCGCATGTTTGCGATTTGATGGGCATCTTCCGCGATGATGACTTCACTTATGTAGCAACAGTGTTGGGAACTGAGCTTGTGAGGGCCTGCGTTGCCAATGTTACATTCCCTTCGTTTGCAAGGTTGGCCACTGAGGGAGATCTTTTCCACTGGGTGGAGCAAGCTACCTGCTCACCTGGCAGGGAGCGCGAGAGCAGCTTATCCCGTGTCATTGGATTTTGATGTTCGTTCCAAACGGCTGTGCTCAGCTACCACGCCTGCTGTATCTCTGTTTCTGCAACTGATTCTGAGCTAGGCATCATTCGTCCTATGGTGGCGCAGGTGTGCCCAGGCTGCAAGGCTCTGTCAGTCGGACGGGTAGCAAGCACCTTCAAACAACACCCAGGTTTTCAGCCGTGAAAGAGCTTCATGAGCTTGGAATTGCGCACCGGGACATCTCACTTGCTCCTGTGCCGAAGTTTCAAGATGATTGACGTGGGATGACAGGGTTGAGGGGACTGCAAACAGGGCGGGTGAAGTCGGGTCAGCTATACCAGGCCAATCTGTCTAGTTGTCTTGTAGGAAGCTGCTGCTTCGGAGGGATCCACGTGGCAGAACAAGGGGGAAGGCACGTAGGACCAGGTGCAGGCAGTCAAATTTGCCGGCAAAGCAGTCAGGCGAATCAATCAAAGCCCGGCACGAAGCCGAAGTAACTTTCATTCGCAGGAGTGTGAAAGCCTGTCACTCACATGTTGCGAGTGCCTGCTGGCTGTGCTTCCTCCCTCTGGAGTTGGGGAGCGATGAGGGTTGACCTGGCTGCACAGAATCATCAAATCTCCCAACATGTGTCCCCTGCATGTTGTACAGGGACAAGTAAACAGGCAACATCTCTGTAATCATCTCCTCACCCAGTCATTGCAGTCTCTGACACAGAAGCAGACCCGTAGGTCCTAGCTGCCCTGACTATCAGTCTGCGCACGTTTGTCGACTAGATGATTGGCATCGCTAGCAAAGCAAAGAGCGCCAAAGTCGTGGTAGTGCAGGCTTGAAGCATCACACAACAGTATAGCGGACATCTGCAGGAGTTCCATGCTCGCGAGGCTCAATCCAGTTGACGCCAGCTTCGCTCATCACTTGATTTCATTGAGAAGCGGTAGAGGCACCCACCGAGTGTGTGTGCAGCCACATGTTCGCTCCCTCAACTGGTAGTAGCCAGTTCTGGTATTTCCCAGCCTACAAATCTGTTTCATTGACTCATAGGTGTTCTTGTTCCCACTACTCCCCTCTCCTTTATCAATGACGCGGTGCGTGACCTGAAGAGACCATCATTCTGCAACACAGTGAACGGAAATTGAAGCCTCCCATAGTGCGTCTCAGCCAACACCCAAGTCAAAGAGGTGAAATTTAGAGCTCGGTGAGACCCACGCCATGTCAAGCCGCTTCCACACCGCGAGAAACATATCAGAGCGGACGAGATGTAGATCTACAAGCCGTTTCCAACAGCATGTGCGAGCTCGAAAGCAAGTGCAGGATGGAGTAGAATTGAAGATCCTTGCAGGTTATCTTGGACATGTGGATTCTGGGCGTTTTCCTACCTTGTGTTTTCATCTCGTCTTTAATGGGCGGTGTTTCCAGCTTTGCCATCAAGGCTTAGGCCTGCGCAGCAAGCTTGCCCCAGGCCTGTGATGCCTATGCCAAGTCGTTTTTTCAGCCTCGCTGCCTCGTGTTTTCTTTCTTTAAATTTTCTTATGTGGCACCTATCCAAGTTCATGAAATTCATGCTCTGGTTAGCTGTGAGCACCTGATGTTGAACTTCGAACATCTTTGCTTTTTGTTGTGGTGCAAAACCTGCCGGAAGCTGGCCATCAAGTGTCAGCAGGCTGGGCGCAAAGCCTGTTATATGAGAAGGAAACAGAGACGTGATCTCGGCGCATGGCAACTGACGTGTCATGCTTTATGCAGATGCCTCTTTTAGCTGCACGCTTGCTGAAGAAGCGAGAATGGCATGGGACAGTCCGCAGGCAATGCAAGACTCTGACATCAGAACGAAGCAACCAACTCCTTGGGTTGTCAGTTGCTTCTGGGAGTCCCAAAAGCTTAAACCAACCAAGGAGAATCTACTGCTGACGCAGGGTCCAGATGGAGGACAACATGCAACCTCCCACCATCCACCTCCCCACCTGCTGCCCTCTCCCACCCGAAAACCACCCTCCCACCCTCCAGCTCTGGTCTCTCTATCTATCCTTCTGCGCATCCCTCTTTCCCTCTTGCCTTTTTGAGGCTAGTTTGGTGCTGTGTGTTGAAGCTTGCAGATGCAATAGGACCTCAAATCAAGGTGATCGACTTCGGCATGGCCACGCTGTGTCGCAGCTGTTGTTTAAGCTTCTTATTGTCTCAAACTGCTTCCCCAAGGCTTCTTGTGTGGACTGCAAGCTTCGTGCCAAGGTCACAGCGATGCAGTGCTGAAGTTCGTGGCAAGCAGGCTTACCAGGCGCTGATAGCCATCCACCATCATCCGCCAGCAAGCAATAGCAAGCAGCATTCAAGGCGTTCCCCCGACCACTTCTCTCAGGCCCCTGAGATGCATACAGACATTGAATATGACGCTTTCCTCGCGGATATCTTTGCGGCTGGAGTACCCTGGCAAGACATTCAAACGGCGTATTTCCTGGTCCGTCGCGAAACTACTTTAGAGCTTCTTTATTGATCTTTATCGTGACTGTGAGCATTCCTCGAGGGCGGAAAGCACCCTGCAATGCGCAATCTTTTTTTGCAAATTTATTTTCGCGTGTGAGGCTTTTTGGCTCTTTGACGACAGAGCTGCAGTCAATTTGTAGGAATCAGGACCGCGCAATTTGGAAAAGCAGGGCAACGCTATGAGGAAGGCGTACGGGTCAAGACCCAAGCAGGATGTCTGCTTGTGAACCTGGCGAGCAGCCCAGAAAAAGAAAAAACAAAAAAGATGTGCAGCGTTTCAAAGGACTTTTGCAAACTTCTGTCTGTGTTGCATGGTCCGAGGTAGTTCTATACGCCATGGCTCTGAGCGACTACCCTTGGACATGCACAAGATCAGGATCTTGCGGCATGTACGAGTATTGTGGCTTGCATTTCAGCGCACACTCGACATGCTCTGGTAAGGTGCTATAGTGCAGCTGAGCATCTCACGCACAGCTGAGTTTCATACATTCTTGGGGTTTCCAAGAGTTCATCAAGTACCGCAAGTGCCGAGCTGCCTCGAAGACTTACATAGTCCAGGCTGGCTCTGCATGGTGTATGCAAGGCGCTGCTCTAGTGTCCCCGAGCTCTCATTGTGCGCTGATTGCTGGACAGGTGTTGTCGCCTTCACTATGCGAGCTCATGGAGGGTCTCCTTGAGCTGCACCCTGAAGAGCGATTCTGCCTCGGAGAGTATCTTTCTCTGCAATCAGGATCTTTCAAACCATTCAGCTTGCTTAAGTCCTAGGTCCCTAAGTCCTGTCAAGCCGGGGCATCCGGGGCATCCGGGGTCGACTGGAAGGTCCTTTGTAGGAACCACCAGGATGCTACAGGCAACGTCAAATGAGCATATCAGGAAGCTTTGCCTTGTGAGTGGAGTGCTGCAGGTCCTGTTTTGATGCACGTGGTGCGAATGGCCGGTGGTCCGTCTGGGATATGGTGGCCTTGCCTGCATTTGTTCCGTTTTCAGTTTTCATGCATGTGACGGACTTGTACTCTGAAAGGCATGGATGCAGCGAGCCCCGCGAGAGACTTGCTTCTTGGCAAAATCCAGCCTGGATCGCTAACACTTTTCATGAGCAGTCTGGCCAAGGCACGCTTTGCTAGCCGGCCGGTATGGAGCTCTCGGGCCCCGCTGATATCCGCCTTCTGGAATTTTGTCTTTCGACCGCAGTGGCCAGCCACACCGACGTGTCCTTGGCCGCTGTGAACGTTTCTGTGCATGATCTTCGCTTCCCTGAGCTGAGATCGTATTTTTGCTTGCCATTGTTGTCAGTCGTCAGAATGGCAGTAGAGTATATACTAACAGCTCAGGCTTGAACTTGTCCCGAAACCCTGTAGAGATGTATCTGGGCGGGGCAACTGTCGTCATAATTTGTGAAGCATGCCCATCAATTTCAGTTTCACGGCGCTGCTTCCTTGAAGCTTTGCATGCAAATTCTGCCGGCCCTGTGATGCTGTGTCCTCCGCGCAGGGCTGCAGTTTCAGAGGGCATTTGAGCACAAAGCAGGAGTTGCCGCCACGTTTTGAGCTCCTACGTAGCTGTAGAAGGTTCGTGGACCAGTGGACCTTGCAAATCCACAGGTTCAGTAAAAGTTCTCCCAGGGAGCTGACCAGAAGACTCATGGGATAATAATATTGTACGCTGCGCTGCCTCCATCTTCTCATGTCAGCTTCCTGAACGGGTCTGGCTGCTTGTGAAGGCTGGCATGGGCACAGGTCCTCAGTCTACATGTGCCATTCGCGGTCCCTTGTGTTTCGGGTTCAGCCCCATAGGTTTGAAGCTGCAAGAGCAGCTTTCAAGCCATTCTCTTGTTCGACGCTCGTTCCGCACGCCTATTGCTACAGGGCAGCCGTTGCATAAGAGCCAGGCAAGGCATGCTTTGTGAGCACATGGCATGCATGGCTTCATCAAGCTTTGCACACGCGAGCGCACGGCGTGGCACACGGGTTCTGGAGCTGAGTACCCAAAGACGGACGCACCCACTGCCTTGCACGGTGTCAAGAGGATTCTAAATTGCATCTGTTCGCATGAGTGCAGTCGGGACATACAACCTGCAGCCGGACACGCCATGTCTGCTGCCTATGGAAGTCCAGGCATGCCAGCTTGCCCGCAACCTCCTGAAAACTTGAGTGTTGTACTACAGGAGGAGGCAATGGGCTTATGCCAGAGGTGGTTTCCTTTGCCCAGAAGTATGGCCTGGCCGTGCCAGCACAGGCCAACGTGACCAACAGAACTCTTTCTCCGACCCTTCTCAACCCAGCGCTTGAGGAAGAGTTGCAGAAGCTGATGCATGCCTCCGCCTCCTGGCTCACAAACATATTTCGAGGCATTGCAAGAGCAGCACAGTAGCACTGGCAGCTGAGGTTGCTCTGGCACAGCGCCGTGTGACGGTGTCTGTGCCTGCGACAGTGGCCAACCTTGGACCCGGACTGGAGACCGTTGGCCTTGCTGGGGACTCGCCTGTGGACTCAATGTGCTGTGTATGCAATTGAGAATTGGCACACTGTCCGCAAAGGCAGTGGATATTTGGGATGAGTTTACCCTGGAGTTCTCCGATCATTTCAATGTGGAGTTACGTGGCTCTGATATTGCTGAGGCAGGCGCTGCACGTTTCAGTTGGTCCAGAGCAAAACAAACCTAAGCTGCTGAAGTTTTGCCCGCTGGGTGCAAGGTGCCTCGCACAGAAGCGAACCTGGTTGTGCAGGGCGCAGTAGCAGCGTTTAAGGCTGCAGAACTACAGCACAAAAGGATGTACCAGCTGTGGTTCCGGAGACTCATCATTCTTGAAGTGTCGACGACCTTGGGTCCCGCCAGGTAGCAGGACGAGCTTGCCCATCGCTGCGGTTCATCTGCGAGCACAGAATACCTTTCAACAAGGCATGTCGTGCTAAAATGATAAAATGAATCAAAGCTCTATGAAGACTGTAGGCATGACCTTCATAGCCCCATCTGCAGCAGGGCCTTGGAGCGGCGAGCGCCTCCTTCGTGGGTGGATTTCTGGCAGCGTCAGTGCTCTGCGCTGAGGAGCTGCTCTTGTGGAGCCGTCAGCGCCTTGGGTGTACAGTGTACGGCAGCAATTCCTGCAGGAGTTGAGGCAGCTATCGCCACGAGCAGAGGAGCAGGAGTGTGTGCAATCATCATGTACAATATCAAAGCACTTGACAGCAACCTGTCCAGGGCTAGGAGCTTGGACGGACTGTTGTTTGCAACATGACTGTTTTTTGCACAGTAAAATGCCAGATGTCAAAAACAGTAAGCCGCTGATATGAAGTCTGTTCCCACATCGGGGGAGGCAGTCAGCACAGAGATCTCCAACATGAGCTCGATTCACTATCAAAGTGTCAAACGAATATTATCCCATCAGATTTTATTGTCAGGTTAATGAAGCGTTCAGAGCAAAACACTCTGGGAGAACACGTTTTCAGAAACAGTGACAATTACATTGAAAATTTAGGTCAACAAAAGCAAGATAGTCGCCAACGCCGAATCGACCTACTGTATATCAACACCATGAACTTTTAGTAGCCAATACCAAAAAACCTTAATGTTGACAACACACCGCAGTGCCATAAGTCCTTTCTTTTGCCACCCAAATACTACAGACCGGCTTGGGCAACTGGATTTCATACTATGTAATCAACTCCAAGTGGAAGACTGCAATACCCACAGCGGAAAGCACCTGAATCTGACGAAGAGCCAGTATTACAAACACTCAGCAACGTTGGAGAAATGTGGAAGCACATAGCTCTTGAGTTTGCTGAGTTAAGCAATGTTATTAAGTTGCTAAAGCCCAAAAAGTCCCCAGGTCCGGACACACGGGCAGCGGAACGCATGAAATGGCGAGATGACAGAAATCGATCCGGGCTGCTAGCGCTCTAATATGTTTTTCTTTCAAGGCAAGTATCCTGACTCTCTCAGCTTGGCTAAAATAGCCTCCATGTACAACAACGGAGACCCTTCCACATTTTGAAATTTCCAGCCAATTGTTTTATTGCAAACCTTCTATAGAATCCTTGCGTCGGTGACTTCCAAGCTGATCTAGATGATTGAATAATCAAGACACAATACGGGTCTCGTGCTCGAAGATCCGCTGACCAGGCGATTTTTACAGCGCGTCGCCTCATGGACCTATCAAAAAGACAGGGAAAGAATTTATCTTCATTTCTGCTCGACTGGAAGAAGGCATGTGAGCCTTCCAGCACACATTGGAAACATTATTTCCAATATGTACAAAAATGCAGGAAGGCCATGGTTCCATGCGGTTCGGTTTGTTAGGAACCTAGCCTTCCATGCACCTTCGGCCGGTTCGGGTTCGATGGTTCTTCCGGTTTTTATTGCGCAGGAGGGTCATTACTAAAAACCGTATAGGCGCCCTTTCCAAAGCAAAGTACGGGTGACGTCCACCCAGGCAAGGCCTGGTGTAAGGGCTTATAGTTCAGCCAGTAAATGGTACTTTCCCAAAATAGGAGAACCCCAATGTAGTCCCAAAATACCATAATCCTTTTATTTTGGGATCGCCAAAAGGTGCCTCTACTTTCGCGGAGATCCCCATATAAACATAACAACAATATCAATGCCAATTGTAATAGTAATGGCACTAATGAATTAGGATGTATACTAGTTGTATTTGTAATAGTTGATGTTATAATATAGGCCAGGCCTGTGCCGCCTTCGAGCTGCGCAAGCTTCACAGGCCAAAGGATTGGAAGTCTCCACTGTCTCGGGTAATTGAATAAGGCATCCTTCTAAAGCGAATGAATGGACATCAGTTTTGATTGTTTTGATTCAAGTATATATATATATACATACATATACTATCCACAAATCAACCATAATGAACCCCATATGCTGCAATGATGTGAGAGCCTCAATTCTCTCCTTTGTTCTGATATGGATGCCTGGAAACATAAATGGAGTGAAACGAGTCTGCCTTTCCTGAGAGTGAGCTGAGGAATGGAATGCAAATTCGTTTCAGATCCGTTTGCAGGTGGCCATCGCGGCGTCTTTGTGTGCAGCTGCCAGGGCTTCAAAGTCCTAAACCCAAATACCTAAAAACCCTAAGCCACGGGTTTTGAATAGGAACCTTGCCACGGTTCGATTTCCTATACGGTTTGTAGCGGTTCGATTCCTCGGCGATTCGGTTCCTGCCATTCGGTTTAGAAGTCATCCTGAAATGTCAAATTTAGGGTTGTCAAAGGAGAAAAACAACTCAGCCTATTACAAACCAAAGTCCGGAATTAGACAAGGCTGCCCTCTCTCGCTTTATTTAATCAGTGTAGTCATGACAACTATATTCTCGGACATTAAATTCTGATTATACATCAAAAATAACTACAGACAAGAAGTGCTAAATGTTGACGACATCCTGCTCTTGGGCAGGCCCGCTCACACGATAAATGACCTGTTACATCAACATCAGATACAAGTGGAGTATAGCAAATACAACATGAAGCTGACGTTTGACAACTGTATCAACCTGACCATAAACCGCACGCGATCATCGGTTAGGTTCTTGGAATTTGGTGCAAGGTATATCTAGAAGCCTCTTTGAACGACTCGGTAGACAACAATAAGGAAGTTATCAAACGCATAGGAGAAGCTACAACGAGCGCCAAAAAAACAAAATCTTTTCGGGGCAAAATCCCGCACCTCCATCAGATGGAAGCTCCAAGTCTTGAATTCCATCGTCTTCAGCAAGTTATGATACGGACTGACGCTTTCCAGATGATAATGCTCAGGCGCGTGATTGGGGTACCCCCCACTCACATCGATAGAAGCTGCACAAACCAATGAGTTGTGGATACGCTGTCTGAAAGACATCACTATGATATGAAAAGCTGTCGGATTCCTGGCGCAAGAGAAAAATTCGCTCTTAGGTCATATATTGAGAGCTCGAACTCATGATCCCATGAGAGAAGTTCTGTTCGTTCAGGCACCGCCGCGCCCAGAGAACGCATAGAAAGAGTTGGTAAACCAAAAAGCCCATTGGCTGCCGGAAACATTGAAAAAGATGCACAAGATACAACATCCCCGAATACGCGGTCCGACTGTCTTAACTCCCCGCATGTGAATGATATGCTTACTAAAGAACAGAACAAAGAACTCCTACTCAATCACTGACACCTGTTGAATTTGACAATTTCAGAAACTACGACCTCTTGTCCGAATACATTAGCGAATATGTAAACGAATATGTTAGTTCTGTAAGGAGTTCTGATTTGTTGGTCTCTCTCTTCCCTGAGAACATTGGCTCGTCACACAGCTGCGGCTCGGCAGTTTGAGCTAAGAGCAACAGTTGTTCACTGCGCAGATGTATCACGATAGCTGCCTTCTCTTTGCCGTGGCATCATGTACAGATGCTGAAAGCGTTCAGCTCTTCGGAGCAGCGTTCCAGAAGAAGAAGTTGGCACCCTGCATTCCTTGGCAATCTTTGCATCATCCTGTTGTATCTCAACCCCGAACCGTTTGAGTGATGGCGTGAGACCTGGGAATGAGAAACATCAGGCTTCAAGCCTCAGATCTTCCAACTCGAAGGTTTTCCCAATTAGCAAGGCTTCTCGATTCAGGAACTGCCCACACCCGAGAAGCTTCACAAGCCCAGTGCTGTCTTCCAAAGATGTTGGGTCCCTTGCGCATTTTGTCCCTTCGCAAGCAGGAGGTAGTCAGGACTCGTTCTGGAACTTTTGCTGATGGGGTGCGCGCAGTGTTTTTGCTAATTATGTGAGCTTGCAGGTTTGTTTTGGCTGAGGTACCTTGCGAAACTTCGAATGTTGATGCGCTTCTGCAGGCGTCATCTGCTCGGGTGGCCCCTGCTAACATGTCAGAGCTCAACCCATTTTGCTGCAGCTGTGAAGTCAGCCGTGCTCGGATCTGAGGACAATAGAACGTGGATGGAATCCTGGAAATGTGTGCCCCGTTTGCTCTTAGATTGTTTTGTTCATTCTTTGAACTGTTATCAACTCTGTTATCTACAGGTGCCCTGCAATTTACGGGGCTCTCCAGGCCTTGCAGCATTTTGCCGCCCCATGTCAGAAGCATGCACTTGAGCAGCAGATCGGCATTGCGACTGCCTGCGGAACCCGATCCCACCGCGTGCCACTGCCCAGGGGGGTCGCCTGCACTGTGAGCACGAGTCCTTGCTTTTGAAGCATGCAGGTGCCGATTCCCAACGGTTTGGTCCTTTGCCTCTTTGTTCCAGATGCCAAGGAGCTCCTGCAGATGTCTAGGGACCGTCATCAGCTTAAGGAATTCTGAGAACACATCATGCCACTGTGGCAATTCCAAGTCTATCCCAAAGGTTCAAGCAACAGCCTGATCGGAATGACTACCGTCATTGCTGCCGTCTAGCTATGTCTAGCTCATGTGTGGCTGCAGCCTGCAGGCTTCTTGCGATCACAGCTTCATGTTATCAGAACATGTGACTCTCGCCAGGAGGAGGGAAAAGGCCTGGAAGTGGACACTGTGGAGCGGAGAAATGCCATTTTCAACGTGGGCTTCTCCAAACATCTACGAGCAAATCCAGTACAAGCTGCGCTTCATCCGTGGTTGTTGCACACTAACTAAGGTTGGAAGATCGGCGCTACTCATCAACTGCTTTGCAACCCAAGACTTCGCCAAATTTCAGAAGGCAGTTGTAGCATGCAACAGTCGCGAGCTCCAAAAACGGTTGCCATAGCTGAGAGGCATCGGAGGATTTCCTAGCAATGCCACTGGGCAAAATGTCTGAAATGTCTGCCATCTGGGCACGAGAGTTTGACAGCTGTTGTGAGGCCGACGATACTAGAGAAGTTCCCGCACATTCGAGCCGTTTCGCAGGCTGCCAGGACCTTAGCAATGATCAAGGTGTTCTTCAAACTCAGCTGAAGAAAGCTGGTCCAAGCTGAATGCTGTGAATCATGTTGACACTCGTATCCGGCATGGTGGGATAGTCTTTTGAAGACTGGGAGGCCCTTGCTGCCGGAGCTTCTGGCGCATGTGCCTGTGGATATGGCCCAGCGGCCGTGTCCTTAACAGCAAGCTCAAATGCTGAGGGCAGTGCCAGGGAGAAAAGGGTGCGCAGGTGATGGCGCTGATCCAGGGTCGGACTGGGGACGTTCTGGCACAATCCGCTTCCCCCTCAGTTTTACAAATCGCATGAGCGTGAGTCTCGAATGTATCGCTCCGTGCGCCAGGCATCCAATCAGCTCGAGCAGAATGTTGCCAAGGTGCAGTGTCAACTTTCACTTGTCCCCGTTTGGATTTTGTCCCCCAAATTGCTAACCTGGGCCAGAACCTAACATCACACAATGGGGAGAGGCAAGTTGGGGAGGACGGAATGCACCTGCAGCTGTGGCAGGCACACAAATGCAGAGGCAAAAGCAGGCGTGCAAGCTCACCCTAACAAGAATAAAACGTCCAAGATGAAAAGCAAGCAGTTCAGTTTGATTGCAGCGTTTATTTATTCCCTCCGGTCAGAGCCGCAGCAACACCACGGAAGATAAGCTGCTATTGCATACCAATATCCTTAACCTTAATTTAAGGGCTTGCGCCGCTGC